TTTTTTTGTGGTTTATTACCTCAGGTCAAGATGTGGCAGAATATGTCTCATTAACCAACACTTGGTACAGAGCGTGACATAATATTTGCTGAATTTAATTAAAGGTTTGTCTGTTCCTCAAGGTACCTGTCTTCACGGTGGTCTCACTTTTGAAATATGGCTACAGATTGGCTCGGCAGTATTGTGTCCATCAACTGTGGAGATAGCTTGGGTGTCTATCAGGGAAGAGTGTCAGCAGTAGATCAGGTCAGCCAGACCATTTCTCTCACCCGGCCTTTCCACAATGGAGTGAAGTGTCTTGTGCCAGAAGTCACCTTCAGGTGAGTGTCCTGACTGATTCTTCCAAATCCAACCTGGTGGTCTGTGGAGCTTGATTGGAGGTCTGATTGCCAGTATTCTCTTGCTTTTGAGTAGAGTCTTGCCAGGTGTGAGATTTTGCAGTCTTAGGTCTTAACAATCCAGCTCCTGTTCTTAGCAGAGACTTTGTGTTGTAATTAGCTTTCAGCCAGCGATTCAGGATTTGTGAAACCTTTTTCTTATCTCTGTCAAGCATGCAATATTATATTATTTAATTAGGTCAAATCAGAATAACCTTTCTTTTTCTTTAATGGTTTTAGATTTTCTTTCTCAGTTTTATATTATTTGTGCTTTCTCACATCTAAGTTCCTTATTAATTTTTTAACCTGTGTAAATATGTCTCTCTTTGTAGATTTGTATTATGATTTATCCCCAGAAACACATTGTAGCCAGTAGCTAAAGTCCTTAGTTACAGGAAAGTTTTTTTCTTAGTATTTGCCAAAAGATCTCAGGTTCACTTGTGTCTGCATACTCCTCTTTTCATGAGTTTAGCAGACAGCCTTCCATTCTTAGGTACCAAAAAAAAAAGAGATTGTCAAGTAAGAGCTTCCTTGATTTTCGGAGCAATTCAGTTCCTACACATACCCACACGGGACCTTTTCTGGGTATACCCATTCATTCTTAACTGCTTACCTCCTCTGCGGTCTCAAGAAAAGAAACACCCCTTGTGTTCAGGGCTAACCTTATCATGTAGGCTTTAGGTGTTATCCTTTCGTACTTCCTTTCAGACCTTACTTCATCTCTTTAGTGTTTTCAGTTTCAGTCTTTATACTGCTTCTTTTCTCTTTGCATTCTAACATTCCCAGGCCCCCCATATTAAAAACGTCCCTCTCCACTCAACCTGGCATTTGCCACTAGGTATTGCCCTTTCATTTCTCTTCCCTTTACACCTACGGTGCTTTTCAGAGCAAAATAGTCTGCCTTCACTCCCTTTTGTGGCTTCTTTCTCTAGTCCCTTCTTATCCCCCACCATTATCTTTTTTATCTTTTTCTAACTTTATCATCTTGCTGAATTAGCTCTTGCCAGGGTTACAGATGACCTAGTTCCCAAATTCAATGTCAGTGTCTCAATTCTAATCTTACTTGAATGCTCCTTGACTCTTGAAGTACTCTCTTCTCTTAGTTCTCTTAGTTTCTGTGTTACCTCTTTGGGTTTTCTTTGCATGTATTCCACATATTTCTCCATTCCGTTTCTTTTTTTGGTTCTTTTTTTTTTTCTACTCACCTCTTAAGATTGAATTAGGGTTCTTTTCACTGGTTCTTTTCTCAGTTTTTATTCTCTAGACAATCTCATATGTACCATCTTATACATTAATGAGACCTTAAATCTTTATCTTTAATTTAGGTTCATTGTCTGAGCTCCAGAGATTTTAATTGTCTACTGGTCATTTCCAGTTGGATACTCCACAGGATATCTTTTTTTTTTTTTTTTTTTGAAAGAGACAGGGTCTCACTCTGTTGCCTAGGCTGGAATGCAATGGTTTGATTATAATTCACTGCAGCCTCAAGAGCCTGGGCTCAAGGATTCCTCCCACCTCGGCCTCCTGTGACTTTAGGCGTGTGCCACCGTGCCTGGCTAATTTTTTAAAAAAAAATTTTGTGGAGACGAGTCTTACTATGTTGCCCAGGCTGGTCTTCAGTGCTTAGCCTCAAGTGATCCTTCTGCCTTGGCCTCCCAAAGTGCTGGGATTATAGTTGTGAGCCACTGTACCCAGCTGCCCACAAGATATCTTAAATTCAAGATTTTCAGAGCTGATCTCATTATGTGTACCTACAGATTTCTTTCTGCAAAGGTCTACCAATTATTGATGACTAATACACCTTTCCCCTGAGGTAGAAACTTAGGAATCATCATAAACTCTTCTTTAATCTTCCCGTTCAGTTAGTCATTAAATCCTATGGATTCCAAATGTCTTTCGGTCCATTCTCCCTTCTCCCTTTGTATTGTCACTTGCCCAGTTCAGCCCCTCTTATTTCTTGCTTGGTCTCTTAACTGGTACCGCTGCCTCTGGTTTCTCCACTTTTCTGATAGCCACCAGAAAAATCCATTGTGATCATGATCTGGCTCCTGGTTACCTCTGCAGCCTTACTTTGTTTTTTTGTTTTTTATTTTAACGTCTGCGTGCAGATGGGCTGAGGCCAAAATGGCGTCAGCTGCCGCCTTGCTTTCTGATGGCCCTCCACAAGCATCCTTTCCTTGAAGTAACACTGTAACATTTGCAGTTACTCACATAGGCCACATTTTCTCAATCTGAACCTTTGCCTGAGATGCCTTTCTCCCTACTCTCCTCTTCTTGGCCGACTCTTAGCCCCCTGCCCTTGGCCAGACTTAGCTTAAATATCATATCCACCTCCCCCAAACTAACTTAAATATTTTGCTTTTGGGCTTTCTGGTCCCCTGTGTACACCTCTGTCAGAGCATTTAACACTATCAGTTGATTGTGTACTTTTCCACTCACCAGACTGTGAATTCCTTGTGGGTACATGTCGGTTTTCATTTCTATATGCCCTGTCCTGGCACAGGGCTTACTACATAGTAAGCAAGTATTATATATATGCCTATTGAATGGGTGAGTGAAAAAGTGGAAAAAAAAAAAAAAGCCGTTACATGTTCTAGAAATCTAAGATAGTAATATATCCCACAAGTCATCTTAAATTCAAGATATCTTTGTTTTGTTGTTAACAGTAGTCTCTTTTTAAAGGTACTGGGATCAGTTGGATGTTGGTGGCTAAGCCCTGTCTGTAAATGCACAGCTGCCTTTCCTAGTTTTTGCCTCTCGTATGAAATGCAGTCCTACAAAGGAGTTATCTGTTTGCTATTGATCCCATTTTCATTGTTTCTATCACTATTATAATTTTGAGACTTGGACTCATTTGTGTATTTCAGGGCAGGTGACATTACAGAATTAAAAATCCTGGAGATACCAGGTCCTGGAGACAACCAACATTTTGGAGACCTTCATCAGGCAGAATTAGGCCCCTCTGGTGTTGGATACCAAGTGGGTATCAATCAGAACGGCACGGGCAAGTTGGTCAAGAAGCCAACCTCTTCCAGCAGTGCCCCTCAGAACATTCCTAAGAGGACAGATGTGAAGAGCCAAGATGTTGCCGTTTCACCCCAGCAGCAACAGTGCTCAAAGAGCTATGTGGACAGACACATGGAATCCTTGAGTCAGTCCAAAGGTTTCCGCCGTCGGCACAACTCCTGTAAGTAGGGTCAAGTTGATATTTCTTCTTGACCTCATTTTTCAGGGCTGTAAGCTCTTATCTACTACTGCTCTTTAAACAATTCCTTTATTACTCTAATAAAAAAGGATGCTGGCAGAGCTTCACAAAAATTTGACATGGTTCTCTTATTCCAGGGCTAGTTGTTCGAGATGTTAAGGGAAAGGAAATAAGTTGTTAGAGATGCACACGAGCTTCCTGCCCTCCGCCACCACTTCACGTCCTTCAGGAAAAGTCTGCACAGTTTGTTGAGACCAATAGTGATGTTTCAGATTCAGTCACTGGCTGGGCGCGGTGGCTCATGCCTGTAATCCTAGCACTCAGGGAGGCCAAGGCAGATGGATCCTTTGAGCTAAGGAGTTCGAGACCAGCCTGAGCAAGAGCGAGACCCCACCTCTACTAAAAAAATAGAAAGAAATTAGCTTGACAACTAAAAATATATATATAAAAAATTAGCCGGGCATGATGACGCATGCCTGTAGTCCCAGCTACTCAGGACACTGAGGATCGCTTGAGCCCAGGAGTTTGAGGTTGCTGTGAGCTAGGCTGACGCCACGGCACTCTAGTCCAGGAAACAGAGCAAGACTCTGTCTCAAAAAAAAAAAAAAGATGAAAAAAGCAAATTCAGTTGCTGATGGTGGTAGTGATATCTGAGTTGAACTTGCACTTGGGCTGTTCCGGGGATTCTTGTGTAACTTTCTTCTTATGATTTGACTCCCATCCTCAGAGGAGAGGAGGAGACTGGCTTAGACACCTCTGTGATCTTTCGTTTTCTGACAGACCAACAATTTAAAATTGGCTGTATTTACTGTCCCTACTGGCAGATCAAAGAGTGCATGTACTGGTGTGTGTTGCTGCCCAGTTTTGTATGGTGCTGACACATTGTTGAATACCATTGGTTGATGATAGCCCACAGTTAACCTGTTATGCTCTTTAATATATTCACTAAAATAATGTTACTCTGTTGTGTTCCTTAAATGAATACAAATGTTGTTTTAAAAAATTGCTTCTAAATAACAGACTATTGACAAAAATTTTTACTTAGGTGGTTTTGTACTCAGATAATGGCAGAATGTTAGGAATTTTAAGTGAGTATTCATTAAGTCATATTAACTTATCAGCTAGAGTAATGCTGTGGCATTACATTCTAAAAGGCAGCATTTAAAGTGAGCTAGATCTCTCTAGAACCCACCTTCAGGGAGTTTATTACAAAAAATTCCAGATACTGCTTGCTGCCATTGTTGCATCTCAAGCTGTAGTCCCGGTGACATTGTAGTGAGGTTTTTGTGTGCCCTGTGAATTCTAGTTAGTGGTGTAACATCTGTGTCAGGCACTAACATTTTAAGGTTTGCAAATGCCTGATTCAAGTGAATAAATGATTGAAATTAAAGGTTTTTGTTTTTTTTTTTTTAAAAATGTATTTCAAGGCCATTTTTTTCAGTGCATGAGAACCACTATCAGAATTGATAGTGACTAAAAACTTGAGACTGAAATTCAGTTGTTACTTGTTTTGTGTCCTTAGAAAAACTGATAGAATGTTTGGATATAGAAAATGACTCTTTCTGTTTATACTTTAACCTTCTGTGTTTTGCTTTATTCTCTCTTTTAAAAAAGTCATTTTTCTTTGCCAAAAATTAACTTGTTAAAAGTGCAAATATTTAAGCAGTTTATAATCTTGTATGCATTTGAAGATGACCCTTATTAGCAATTTATATTTATTTTTCCTGCATATTTTTAACCTGTTATTAACATCTTACATTGTCATGGTACATTTGTTATAATTAGTGAACCAACATTGATACATTGTTATAAAATAAAGTCCATATTTTATTCAGATTGCCCTACTTTTTACCTGATGTCCTTGTTCCAGGATCCCATCCAGCCTATCATGTTACATTTAGTATCATGCCTCTGGTTGGCTCTGACACTTTCTCAGACTTTCTTTGTTTTTGATGACCTTGACGGTTTTTATGGGTACTGGCATTTTGTAGAATGCTCCTCAGTTGGTGTTGTCTGATATTTTTCACATGATTAGACTGGGGTCATGTGGTTTTGGAAGGAAGACCACAGAGGTAAAGTATCATTTTCATCACATTGTATCAAAGGTATGTACTATCACCATGGTTTATGACCTTGATCACTTGGCTGAGGTAGTATTTGTCAAATTTTTCCTCCATAAAGTGACTCTTTCTTCTTCCTGTACATACTGTACTGTTTGGAAGGATGTCACTGTGTGCAGCTCATACCCAAGGAGTGAGGAATTATGCTCCCTTTCTCCTTGAGGGCACAGTATCAACATAAATTATTTAGAATTCTCCTGCACCAGAGATTTATCTCTTCTCCCCTGTTTGTTTATTTATTCAGTTGTTTATTTATATCAGTATGGACTTAGGGTATTTATTTTATACTTTGGCTTATAATTCGATATTACTTTATTTTGGTACCCAAATTTTCTCAGCTTTGATCTTTCATTGGGAGCTCTTTCCCATGTGCCAGGCTAGAATGCAGTGGTGTCATCATAGCTCACTGCAACCTGAAAGTCCTGGACTCGGTTGATCCTCCTGCCTCAGCCTCCCGAGTATCTGGAGCTACAGGCGTGCACCATTGTACTTGGCTAATTTTTTTATTTTTTTGTAGAGATGAGGTCTTGCTATGTTGCTCAGGCTGGTCTCAAACTCCTGACCTCAAGTAGTCCCGCTTTGGCCTCCTGAGTAGTTGGGACTATAGGTTGTACTTGAGTCCTTTTTTTTTTTTTTTTTTTTGAGACAGAATCTGGCTCTGTTGCCTAGACTAGAGTGCTGTGGTGTCAGCCTAGCTCACAAGCAACCTCAAACTCCTGGGCTCAAGTGATCCTTCTGCCTCAGCCTCCCAAGTAGCTTGGACTACAGGCACTCACCACCACTCCCAGGTAATTTTTTGTTTTTATTTTTAGTTTCCCAGCTAATTTTTTCTAGTTTTTAGTAGAGACGGGGTCTTGCTCTTGCTCAGGCTGGTCTCGAATTCCTGACCTCAAGCGATCTTCCCACCTCGGTGTCCCAGAGTGCTAGGATTACAGGCGTGAGCCACCACGCCAGGCTTGTACTTGAGTCTTATCTTCTATATTTTCTGCCCTAGCCCTAAAATCAGTCATGTCTCCTTTTATTGGAGACTGGTATTAGAAGCCCAGATCTGGGCACATTTGGTGTGCTGATTGCTACTGGGTGTCACCCTTATAGCTGACAACAAGAAAATATATGTGTGTTTACTTAACCAGTGTGTATACACATATCTGTAAATATTTCTGTATGTAACCATGTATACTGTACTGTGCTAAGTATGAGTTCTTACTAATGTCTCCAACTTTAATCCATTACCACATGGATCATTCTAGCTTTCTCCTTTTGCTTATCTGTAACCTCTCACTCCAACAGTGAGAAACCTGTCTCCCACCAACTGTCATCCATTTTTTAAAAGTTTTTTTTAAAAACTTCCTCTGTCACCCAGACTGGAGTGCAATGGTGCGATCATAGCTCACTGCAGCCTCAGACTCCTGTGCTCAAGGGATCCTCCTATCTCAGCCTTCTGAGTAGCTGGGACTACAGGCATGTACCACCATGCCCAGCTAATTATTTTATTGTTTGTAGAGATGGGGTCTCGCTATGTTGCCCAGGCTGGTCTTGAACTCCTGGCCTCAAGCTATCCTCCCACCTTGGACTCCCAAAGTGCTGGGATTCCAAGTGTGAGCCACCGTGCCTGGCCTGTCATCCATTTATATAATTATTCAGTTCCAGTATACATATGTAGTGATATAAGAATTATGAACTTATATCCCCCACCCCCATGGGAGACTATCAAATAGAATATAGTGCTTACGCACAGTTCCTTTGGCCTTTCATCTTACAGACTCCATTCATTTCCCGAGTTACTTAGGTCTCCCACCCCCTTCATTGACTTGTTTCATATATTGTAATACAATACAAATCGTTTTGTCATATTCTGCATCCATCCTGGGATTCCCCTAACTTCCTAAATGATTTTTTTAAATTTACATACATTAAGGCTCACTCTTCGTGCTGTTAAGTTCAGTGAGTTTTGACTAATACGTAGTGTCATGTATCTGTCATTAAAATGTTATACAGAACAGTTCCACTGTCCTAAACAATCTTCTGTGCTTTACCTGTTCAACTCTCCCTCTCTTCCCTCCCTACTTCCTCCTGACAACTGATCTTTTTAATCATCTCTGTAATTTTGCCTTTTCCTAAATGTCACATAATTAAAATCATACTGTAGTATGTATCCTTTTCAGACTAACTTTTTTCACTTAAATATATACATTTAAGATTCATTCATGTCTTTTGTGGCTTAATAGCTCCTTTCTTTTTATTGTTGGATAATATTCCATTGTATGGATGTATCAGTTTGTTTATTCATCTATTAAAGGATATCTTAGTTGCTTTCAGCTTTTAGTGATTATGAATAAAACTGCTATAAACATTTGTGTGCAGGTTTTTGTGTGAACATAATTTTCAGATCAGTTGTGTGAGTACCAAGGAGAGCAATTGCTGGATGTTTTGGTAAGACTATTAGTTTGTTTCTGTTTTTTTGTTTCTGTTTCTGTTTTTTGTTTTTGTTTCTGTTTTTTGTTTCTGTTTCTGTTTGTTTCTGTTTTTTTGTTCCCATTAACCAATTATAGCAATTCTTTTGAACTTCAGAATGAGTAATTTATTATACTTGACCTGTAATAAGTCACTCTGATATGTTAAAAAGTGGGTTTATTGTCATTCACAAATATCTAGGTGATATTTTTCTGCTTTCGCTGTTTGGTCAATTTCCTTTTCCTAGATTGTTAACTGTACATAAGTAACGTAAAGGGATCATGGGGTAGTAAAATGTTATTCTCTTTTAGGGAATTTCTTTTGAATCCAGGTTAGTGTGGAAAATGTCTGTGGCCTGGGAATTTGATGATGAGATGTGGCTTAGAATTGATTTCTGGTAGATGGTAG